CAAGAGCCAGTGTACCCAGGGGTCTGAGTAGGACCATCCAGATGACAACTCCTCAGATCCATAAGGAAACACTCAGGGGGCAGACTCAGTGAGCACCAAAGCCCCACTGTGGCAAGTCTTGCCCCATAAGGGTGTCTCCAGCACAGAAGTTCTCCCATCATAGACACAACTGATCTTCACAACCAATTGGCCTGGAGGTCAATTCCTCCCAGTGATACCAACAACAATCAAGGTTTAACTACAGCCGAAACAGGTTTGGCTCAGTGGATAGAGCATCACTCTATGGACTGAAAGGTCCCAGGTTCGATTCTGGTCAAGGACATGTACATTGGTTGCAGGCACATCCCCGGTGTGGGGGTGTGCAAGAGGCAGCTAGTGGATGTTTCTCTCTCATTGATGTTTCTAGCTTTCTATCCCTTTCCTTTCCTCTCTGTAAAAAAAAATAAATAAATAAAATAAAAAAAAAAAAAAAAAAAATCAATTTTATATATATATATATATATATATATATATATATATATATATATATATATATATATATATATTAAGGCTTAACTACAACAAGAATGTGCACACAGCCCACAAAGGGGTTCACCAAGAGTGTCCACCTCAGGTAACTGGCAGGCTGAGCCACTGGGCCCTATAGGACACCTAGCACACAAAACCACTCTATCAACACAGGGAAGCAGTCAAAATGCAGAGGCAAATAAAACAGGTCACAAATGACAGAAATGGAAGAAAACAAACAACTGGATATAGAGTTCAAAACCACAGTTATAAGGTTTTTCAAGAATCTTCTAGATGCCAAAACTTGTTTGGCTTAATGGATAAAGTGTTGGCCTGTGGACTGAAGGATTCCAAGTTCAATTCTGGTCAAGGGCATGTACCTTGGTTGCGGGCACATCCCCAGTGGGAGGTATGCAGGAGGCAGCTGATTGATGTTTTTAGCTCTCTATCCTTCTCCCTTCCTCTCTGTAAAAAAATCAATAACATATTTTTAAAAAAGAATCTTCTAGAAACCGCCAATAAATTTAGTGAGACCCTCTATGAAAAAGGACCAACTAGAAATTAAACATACACTGACTGAAATAAAGAATAATATACAGAGATCCATCAGCAGACTAGAGGATCACAAGAATCAAGTAAAAGATTTGAAATATGAAGAGGCAAAAAACACCCAACTGGGAAAGCAAAAAGAAAAAAGAATTCAAAAATATGAAGATAGTCTAAGGACCTCTGGGACAACTTTAAGTGTAGCAACATCCGAATTATGGGGGTGCCAGAAGAAGAGAGAGAACAAGATACTGAAAACTTACTTGAAGAAATAATGACTGAAAATTTCCCCCACCTGGTGAAAGAAATAGACTTACAAGTCCAGGAAGCACACAGAACCACAAACAAAAGGAATCCAAAGAGGACCATACCAAGATACATCATAATTAAAATGCCAAGAGCAAAAGAGCAAAAGACAAAGAGAGAATCTTACAAGCAGCAAGAGAAAAGCAGTTAGTTACATACAAAGGAGCACCCATACGATTGTCATCTGATTTCTCAACAGAAACTATGCAGGCCAGAAGGGAGTGGCAAGAAATATTCAAAGTGATGAATAGCAAGAACCTACAACCAAAATTACTCTATCCAGCAAAGTTATCATTCAGAATTGAAGGTCAGATAAAGAGCTTCACAGATAAGAAAAAGCTAAAGGAGTTTATAACTGCCAACCCAGTATTATATGAATTGCTGTAAATGTATTCTATAAGAAGAGAAAGAAGAAGAAAAAAGTAAAGATAAAAATTATGAACAACAAATACATATCTATCAACAAGTGAATCTAAAAATCAAGTGAATAAAAAAATCTGATGAACAGAATAATTTGGTGAATATAATAGAATCAGGGGCATAGAAAGGGAGTGGACTGACAATTCTCAGGGGAATTGGTTGTGGAGGGTTTGGGAAGAGACTGGACAAAAATCATACACCTATGGTTGAGGACAGTGGGGGGGGGGGATGGGTGACGGGTAAGGGCAGAGGGTGGGATGGGAACCAGGTGGATGGGGAGCTATGGGGGGAGGGGAAAGAGGAACAACTGTAATAATCTGACAATAAAGATTTATTAAACATAAAAAAGCCCCATAAAGAGCTATGGCCTGTGTTATTCAGTGGTTAGAACGTCTGCTGAACACCACAGAGTCTTGTATTCGATTCTGGTCAAGGGGCAGGTACCTGGGTTTTCAGGTTTGATCCCCAACCACCATATAGGATGTAACCAATTAATGTGTCTCTATCGGTTTCTCTCTCTCTCTCTCTCTCTCTCTCTCTCTCTCTCTCTCTCTCTCCCTTCCTTCCTTTCCACTCTTTCTAAAAAAATAATAATAATAATGAAAAATTACTCTTGAATTGAGGATTAACATCAAAAAAGGTACCATAAAGTGGGAAGCCAGCCACCACATGGGAAATGATGATTGCATCTGCATTTATAATACTTATGAAACTTCTATAAATTAATAAGACAGATTACAGGAAGAGTGAGCAGAGAGTGACTCAGCTTCTGGTGGATATTTATCATCTCAGGAGTCAAAATCTGAGAAGCAGCAAAAAGTGTTTAAAGACTTGTTTTAACTCTGGAATAAAAAGTGAGTGAGAGAATGGGGAAGGACATGGAAGCAATATATTAAAAAGGAAGAAATTAAGGATTTCACTGTATAAATTAGTTTTTAGAAAGCAAAAATAAACCAAAAGAAGGTAGTAGTAGGGATTTAAAAATAAATAAAAATAAAAGGTGAGAAATTGAAGAAAAATAGCAAAGAGCTTTTATATGTTTTAACTCATATAAATTCACAATAATCCAAAGAAGTAGGAACTAGTGTGATATTATTCCCGTTTTATAGATGGGAAACCAAGGAAGAAGGGTTGTTTTTTTATTCTCCTGGGATTATATAGCTCATAATTAGTATAGCTGGGATTTAACTCAGGAAGTTTGACCCTTAACTAGTAAGCAATACCATATCTTTAAACCAAAAATAGTTGAAAGAATGAATGAAACCTTTTTCTTTTTTAAGACAAAGTACTCACAAATGGGATATCCTTGAGATAAGCCAGGAATGAGAAAGAAAATACAGCAGCAATTAGAAATTAAGAAAACAGTTAAGTGTCCCTGCATGACAATAAACTTAAAGATCGGCTTCTTAACAAAGCATGACGCAAATCAAAATAGAAATTTTTAAAATGTGGCTTAATGTATTAATCAATTTTTGTTGTCTTCTTGATATTTTGACTAAGAAATTGTTTCTACCTAGATATTCTTCCTAACGTTTCACTTCTCAAATATTTAGATTTAGGTCCAGCTGGGCAGGGGTTGGCTGTCTTACCAAGAGGTTTAACAGAGCACATGTTAGGTGCTCTGTAAATACTGGCCAAATGAATTAGTGAGAGGCTGTAGTGGGCACTCTCTACAGCTCCCTTTTCATTATGTCCATCATTCACTGTCGGTCTGGCCCTGGCCCTGGCCCTGCCTGCCGGTGTTTGCTCCAAGGAGGGACTTTGCTCACCTGGGCACTGGTGTGGGTGCGAGCAAAGCCCACGCCATCTCTGTGTCCGGATTTCATTTCATTTTTAAGTTTTGTGCTGTGGCCAACCTCACTGTTTTCAGCAAGCATATCAAACCTAGTTGGTGATTATCTGTGCTCCTTAAAGTGGAGTCATAAATATTTTTTTAAATGTATTTTATTGATTTTTTTACAGAGAGGAGGGGAGAGGGATAGAGAGTTAGAAACATCGATGAGAGAGGAACATCAACCAGCTGCCTCTTGCACACTCCCCGCTGGGGATGTGCCCACAACCAGGGTACATGCCCTTGACCGGAATCGAACCCGGGACCTTTCAGTCCGCAGGCTAACACTCTATCCACTGAGCCAAACCGGTTTCATTGAGTCATAAATATTTTTGTTAGTAACGACAGAATGGCATGACAACCAAGATAAACACCGAATTGGTGACAGCATCGATTTAGACAACCATCCATCACAAGACCATCGGGAGACTGGCCCTGCACTCCTGCGTCCCCGTCCCTGTCCTGTCGCCATCAGCACCTCAGTTACACCATGAACAGCACGGCCGCGGGGTCTGGCAGCGGAAATAGCCTGCACAGACCCCGGGTCATCTGTCCGGCTCGGCGCCGTTCTCCGTGAGTGAGGGACGCTGCAGGGAGTTCTATCATCCTACGGCGCCGCCCGCCTTCTCCTTCGGTCTGACCTGAACTTCGCAATGCGATGGCCATCACACCCTGCCCGCCACAGGACGAGTCCGGTTCCTAGACTGATGCCAGAACCCAGGAGGCATTCGATGTCCGTGGAAAGAATGAACGGACATCTGGTGGGTTTTGAGCCTGGGGACGGTGAGGGCGTCACATCCACAGCCTCGTTTCTTTCTCTCAGCGCCCCTGGAGGAAGGTCCTCCTTCGCCCAGGGGAGAAAAACTGAGGCTTCTGGAAGCTGCTTACATAGACCCCTCCACCAGGAGCTTAGCTGGCCATCTGTTCCTCCCTTCCGAGAACTGAACTCAGGATCAGCTCCGGGAGGTGATCTGTGGGAGAGTAAGGAGTGAAGCTGAGCTGACCCAGGAGTCCAGGCCTGAGGAGGCTTTCTCAGGGGCCCAGAAGGAGGAAACCCAACCTCTGACCCATAAGAGATTAGGGACCAAAGCGAAGCCCCCAGCACCAGCCTGGAGATGTTGCTATAGCTACCAGGCAAAGGAGGTTGGTACTGACTGTGCACAGATACACACACACACACACACACACACACACACACACACCAGCAAGTGCTCACTCTCCACTGCCCATCCCCCTCCACTCCCTCTACCCCACTCACCCCCTTACTCTCCCACTTCCTTTACTCCACCTCACCCTTATCCCCTAGCTCAACCCAGAAAGGCCCAGCCCTGTGATTGGTCAATGGGTCCTTGGTACCAGCAATGGGAAGGAAAGACGTGAAAAGGAAGGAAGAGGGAGGAGTGGGGCAGGGTGCGGGAGGGGCTTTATTTACACCAATGCCCAGGCCGGGAGCCTGCTCACCATGGACACTGTGGAGTTCTGCAACGTGGGCGACAGGCTGGAGGGCGTCCCTGCAGGTATGAGAGATCATGGGGCTGCCTCTCTGGCCCCCTTGGGTCCCTCTGGTGGGGGATTTGATGAGCAAGGGAGGACCACATCCAAGAAAGGAAGCAAGTCCTGGGTGCAGGAGACAGGCCCCAGAGCCAACTGGACATAGATTCGGATTTTAACTCTGTCACCGAAAACTGCTTAACCTCTCTGAATCCCAGTTTCCTGGGACCCCAGCGTCCAGGGCTGGGTCCTCGGGGCTCAGGGCTCCAGGACTGTCCTGGTACAGGGGGGACCCATGAGTCCTTCGTTATTCAAGGGTCCTGGGGCCGCTGGGGCCCCTGGGTACGGCGAGTCCTCCTTCTGGCCCTGGCTCTCCTGGCCATCACAGTCCTGTGGACCCTCATCCTGAGCATCCTGCTTTCCAAGGGTAAGTGGTGGGTGCGATGGGAAGACCATGTCCCAGTCGCCTACCCCCTCATCCCCCCGCGCACTTTCTCCCCTCCCCTCCACCCCAGGCGGAACAGCTGGACCCCCCACCCTGCCTGTGGTGGCGTGTGGACACACGTGAACAGTGTGTGTGCATCCTGGGCTGTGTGCACCCCCTGAGGGTGCCTGCGCACGCATGGTGTGTGTGTGTGGCCTGTGTGTTCGCCTCCCCTGGGCGCCTGGGCGCGTCCTGTGCGCTGTGCCCCTGCCCACCTCTCTTTGCGCCCTAAGCGGGAGTTCCCGCAGCCCTGGGGCGAGGGGGCCCGAGTTCCCGGGCCGCGTCCCCAGGAGCCTCTCTCCGCAGCCTCCAAGCAGCAAGGGGCGTTGTTGGGCGGCCAGGACCTGCTGAGAGCGAACGGTGCGTGCAGGGGCTCCTGGGTTTGTGAGTAGGTGGGTGGGTGCCCCAAGGTCCCGGGGCCGGCCCCGGAGTGGGGAAGGGTGTCCCCGTGAGGCCCCGGAGGTGACTTGGCGTGTCTGGGTCGGGCGGGCGTCGTTCCAGCCTCGAAGCAGACGGTGATGCTGGGCGAACTGAAGGGAGAAGTCGGAGCCTGTCACAGCTGCTGTGAGCCCGGGGCCGGAGCCTGGGGCGGGGCGGAGCCTGGGAAGGGGCGGGGCCTAGGCTGGGGCGGAGCCTGGGGGCTGGGCGGAGCCTGGGTGAAGCGGAGCCTGGAGATGGGGTGGCGGAGCCTGGGGGCTGCGGCGGAGCCCGGAGCTGGGCGGAGCCTGGGTGGGGCGGAGCCTGGGTGGGGCGGAGCCTGGGGCGGGGCGGAGCCTGGGTGGAGCGGAGCCTGGGTGGGGCGGAGCCTGGGGCGGGGCGGAGCCTGGGGCGGGGCGGAGCCTGGGGGCTGGGGGCGGTCCAAGCAGCAGGATTGGAGATCTCAGGCGTCCCACCCCATCCAGGCCTGGGGACCCAGGAGCAGCTGAAGACGGCGCAGGAGAAGCTGCTGCAGCATGAGAGCGCCCTGAGAGAACTGAACGAGCGCGGTGAGGGCGGGGCCCCTCCCCATCCAGCCCCGACCTTTATTTACATCCTGATCCCTCCGTGGCCCAGACCCTAGCCTGTGATCCTGACCGCTAACCCCGATCGTGTCTCCCATCCTGACCCTGACCCTGGGGCTCTGCCCTTGACTACAACTCTTGACCCCAACCACAGGGGACCATACCTGGCGACAGCAGTCCTTGACTGTGATATTCTTGACCGTAACCTAATCATAACCTACCCCTGACACTAACCCCAGCTGTCATCTGGACCCCCTTGACCTCGCAGTGACCCAGCGCTTGGCCGAGGCGGGAAGGGACCGCGAGGGCATCCGCAGTGAGCTGTTCCGGGCGCTGGAGGCCGCCCGATTTGGAAACAGTGAGCAGGGCCGGGTGGCGGAGGGGATAAGTGGACCCTACCCGGTGGCCCTTGGTTCCCTGATCCACCCGGAACCGCCCTTTGACCTTGACCTGCACCTGCGCCCCCGAACCCCTTCCTCTGCTCCACCTGGGAGCAGTCTACCCCTGGCCCTTGCCACCCACAGGTTCCTGCGAGCCCTGCCCCGCGCAGTGGCTGCCCTTCAGGGGCTCCTGCTACCTGTTCTCGGAGCAGCAGGCCACGTGGGAGGGGTCGCAGAGCTTCTGTGCAGGCGTGGGCGCGCACTTGGTGATCGTCGGGGACCTGGAGGAGCAGGTGCGCGGCGGGGGGGGGGGGGGGGGGGGCGGGGCCGGAGGCGGAGCTCCCTGAGGGGCAGCTCCGGAGGTGCCAGTCTCCGCTTCCATCCTCCATCCAGAGCTTCCTGACTCGGAACACACGAGGCCGCGGCTTCTGGCTGGGCCTGAGGGCTGTGCGCCGCGGCCGCAAGGTGCAGGGCTACCAGTGGGTGGACGGAGTCCCGCTCAGCTTCAGGTGAGGGAAGGGCCGGGCCGGCCCTGAGGCGGTCCTGTGCAGACCGCGGGGGCTCCTTGGGGACGGGCAGCCCAGCCATTGGGAGCCGGCTGAGGGATTCATTCTGGGCGTTAGAAAGTTATATCCCCGGTGCATGCTTAAGTTAGACGCTCAGGGTGTCCAGAGAGGTCCAAGCCATAAACAGGCTACAGCCTGAAGGCTGGACCCCAGGGACACCCTCAGCCTAGACCCCACAACACCCCGCCAAACCGCTGCAGCTACTGGAACCGGGGAGAGCCCAACGACGATCGGGGGCAGGAGGACTGCGTCATGATGCTGCACACGGGGCTGTGGAACGATGCCCCTTGCAGCAGCGAGAGGGACAACTGGATCTGCGAGAAGAGGAACAACTGCTGAGCCCACCAGTGCCCCCACACCCGCCGCTGGGATTGCCACCACCATCGGATCCGCCCCGCCCCCCACCAAGAGCTGCCCACCCACTCAGCGAGGCCAGTGCATGTGCCCTGGGACCCCCTCTCCCACCTGACCACTGGCCTCCCACACGAGCCTAACGTCAGCTCCACCTCTTCCAAAACCCTGGCTCCTGGCTCTTTGGTCAGACCCACCTCCTCCCTGGCCAAGACCCGGCGACTGGGAGACGGAGCTGTCTGGTTTCCTTGCATTTTTTCTTAGACTGGGAGGCCTCAAAGACGGGTTTTATGAAGCCCTAAGGAGCATCAATAAATGTCTGAGATGTCCATCTTAGCGTCTGGCTCTTCTAAGCTTTATCCCAGAGACCCTGGCGTGATGCCCGTGAGGCACCCCAACCTCCCCAGTGACCCCATGCTCTCTGATGCTCCCAAACCCAGTGAGTAGCCTGCGCTGGGCCAGAGGGGCCATGGGGCCCTGGGGACATGAGAGTGAGTCAGACCCAGTCCTTCACCCACCCTACCCCACCCAGATGGCTCACTCCACTCCAGCCGGGCACAAGAGCCACGTGACCAGTGACTCGTGGACGAATGCATGCGTGAGTGACAGCGATGCATCTGAAGGAGTGCCTGTGTCGGGGAGAGGGTCTGTGCTGAACTGCCCAAGGGGTGGCCCCTGTCCTTGGAGATTCCGGCACCTGAGACGAGGCCCTGAGGCAGGTGTAGGTCCCTTATGTCCAGGGGGGGGGGAGGCGATCAGAAAATTGCCCCAGGGAACATGGACTTTCGAGCAATGATGAGATTCCAGCACGTGGAGCTAGGAAGGGGAAGCTTTGCAGGTGGGGAGTGTTGGAAGGTGTTGAGTTTGGCTGAACACATTTGGGGGTGCAGGGTGCCCCCCAAATGCGGGAACTTGTATCTGAATTCACTCTGTACTCCCAGGTTCCTGCCCCTATCCTGGGGGCTGGGCGCTCTCCGGGATTTCCAATGGGGACAGGTCTAAGGGTGTGATGGGCTAGCAGCCTTTACGGGTGTAGAACCGAGTTCAAGTCCAAAGCTGCTTGAGTCCTCGGATGCCCCTCCGGAGAGCATCGACTGAGCTGGAAGAAGAATAACACCCAGGGGAAGCCTTTCCATGGTGTAACCAGCCAGCCCTCCGACCCTTCTCCGGGCCCTCAGCTACAGCTCAGAGCAAGGCACTGGCCAGCCCCAGGAGCCGCCTGACTCCCAGACAGACACACACCTGGCGGACTGGCAGCCACACTGGTGGGTTTTCAGGTGGTCAGCTTGGAGGAGTGTGTGGGTTTCCGAAGGTGGCTGTAACAAATGACCACCACCTGATGGATTGAGAGCGCATTCTGGAGGTCAGAAGCCCAGAATTAGTTTCACTGAGCCACATCAGGGTCACCAGGCCAGGCTCCCTCCGAACCTCCAAGGAATCTGTGTCCTTGTCTTCGGCTTCCACAGCTGCGTCTCCCACATATTCTCGCTCGTGGCTTCCATCTCAAAGCCAATAGGGCAGCATCTTGCTTTAGTGATCCCCTTGCCTTCTCTGGGTCCCTCTTATAAGGACACTTGTGATTGCACTTTCAGGCCCAGTCTATAATCCATGATTTCCTTTCATCCTGCAATGCAACTGTGGCACTAACCACCCCAAATTAGTATAGACAGCACCCACAGATTAAGGGCGCCGTTCCTAACAAGACTGCCCTAACTACCATTTGGGGGTACTGGGCCACCCACACCTTTGACCAATTAATTCATACCTACCGGTACAAATTCAGAGGATCTAGCAATCCCCTTCAATTAGTTCTATAATTTTCTAGAATGGCTCAGAACTCAGGAAAGCCCTAGACCTACAGTTTTATTATAAGGAACACAAATTCAGACTAGCCAATGAGGAGACCATAGAGTGAGGGCTGGGAGGGTCTCAAACCTAGAGCTTCCATGTTCCCAGACAGATCACCATCCTGGCATCGGTGTCCAGAGTTTGTATGAGGCTTCATTATGAAGGTGCTTAAAGGGATCATTGGTCATGTGACTGCACTCCATCTCCACCTCCATCCCTCCCCAGAGGCTGGGTGTCTGAAAGCCCCACCCCTCATGGTTGCTCTTTCTGGCACGACCAACCCCCACCCTGAGCATCTCCTGGCTATAAACTCAGGTCTGAGCCAATGGGTCCCCATAAGATCAAAGACATTCCTATCACTTGGGAAACCCCAAGGGTTTAGTGCACCTTGCCAAAAAACGGACAAAAACCAACCAAATTCTTTAACACTTAACACCCCCCATCCCCATCTCTAAGTCCTTAGTCACATCTGCCAAGTCTCTGTTGCTATATGAAATAAACTAGCAACAAAAGGACAAGCACTGTGTTATTCCCCTTACTTGACGTACCTAGAGTGGTCAAACTCACAGAAACAAAAGGCAGAATGGTGGGTGCCAGGACCTATGGGGAGTTACTTAATGAGTATAGAGCTTCAGTTTTTCAAGATAAAAAAACTTCTAGATTGGTCGTTCAACAATGTGACTATATTTAACTCGACCAGAGATCGAACCTACAATCTGGGCGTGTTCCCTGGCTGGGAATCAAACCTACAATCCTTTGGTGTACGTGATGACACTCTAACCACTGAGCAACACAGGCCAGGGCCTGAACTGCCTACTTTAAAATGGTTAAGATGAAAATTTTATATTATGTGAATTTTACCCCACCATATAAATGTTTTCAATTTTTTTAAAAAATATATATTTTATTGGTTTTTATACAGAGAGGAAGGGAGAGAGATAGAGAGTCAGAAACATCGATGAGAGAGAGTCATTGATCAGCTGCCTCTTGCACACCCCCTACTGGGGATATGCCCGCAACAAAGGTACATGCCCTTGACCGGAATCGAACCCGGGACCCTTCAGTCCCCAAGCCGACGCTCTATCCACTGAGCCAAACCAGTCCCGGCAAATGTTTTCAATTTTAATGCACCCATTTCAAGCTCCAAGTCAGAGTTCTGAGAAGAGTATACTGCGGTGTAGTCACCATTACATTCCAGATACAAGTCATTTCCATGATTCCCTCACGTCCCTTCCCACCCCTGCCCCAGGTCACGTGATCCCAAGATCTGCTTGCACCACTGTTGCCTAGACTCGTCTTTCCTCAAATGTCCTTTAAATTGAATCACCGTATGTTGTGACTCTTTCTGTAGGCACAATGTCTGAGATTCACCGTACAGCTGTGTGTGTCCACAGCGTGCTCCTTTCACTGTGGACTCATCTTCCACTGATGTTTGCATTGTTTCCCATGTACGTTTCTATGAATTAAACTGCTGTGAACATTCTTGTACAGATCTTTTTATGGCTTTACGTTTTCACTTTTCTTGGGTAAATACCGGCAGTGAGTCAGAGAGCAGATGAGTGTTGAACTTCTATAAGAAACTGTCAGGCCGTTTTTCCAAAGTGGTTGCACTGGTTTTGGCCCATCAGCAATGTCCCAGGGCTCTGGCTGCTCAGGGAGGGCACTCTTGACCCAGGAGACATTTCAGCAGTTCTAGAGCCAGGTGCGGGGAAGGTCTGTCTAGAGAAGAGCAGGAGGGAAGGAAATAAAGCTGGAAGTTGAAGCAGGTAACGGGGAAGGTAGGAAGCCGGGGGTAATATCCCCCTGACGACATGTTGTCGTGGGAAGACTCTGGGACGTGGGGAACAAGAGGTGTGTGTGGGGGGGTGTTTCTCTGCTCTTCGGAACTATAGCCCCTGATCATGACTGAGGAGGTTGGCAAGAGAAGCTGGAGAGGAGTGAGATCAGGTCTCCTGGGAACAAGAAGCCATTTCATTCATTCATTTATGCAATGAAATCATTTACATTCAATTACTTTCTTACCCACAAACATTTTTCCAGTGCTTATTAGATTACTAGAGGCCTGTTGCACGATATTCGTGAAAGAATAGGCCTTCCCGCTGAAACCGGTTTGGCTCAGTGGATAGAGCGTTGGCCTGTGGACTGGAAGGTCCCAGGTTCGATTCCAGTCAGGGGCATGTACCTTGGTTGCGGGCACATCCCCAGTGGGGGGTGTGCAGGAGACGGCTGATTGATGTTTCTCTCTCATCGATGTTTCTAGCTCTCTATCCCTCTCTCTTCCTCTCTGTGAAAAATCAATAAAATATATTAAAAAAAAAAAAAAAAAAAAAAAAAGCATAGGCCTTCCTTCCCCTGGCTTTGGTCCCATCCGCCCAGGAGCCAGCAAGTCCTCACTTCTGTCTGGAACACCACTCTTGTAGTTCCCTCTGCCGCCCCCCTCCCCTTCCCCTCATAGCAGGCTTCACTCCACTCCACACTTGCATATGCAAATTAACCTTCATCTTTGTTGGGTTAATTTGCATACTCACTCTGATTGGCTGTGGGCATAGCGGAGTGATCGTTGATTTGCATGTTTCTCTTTTATTAGGTAAGATTATACATCAGACATGGCATGCAATGGGAGAACAAGAGGTCAGGATCTTTGGACACGGAGGATTCTGAAAATACTTAGGCTGGTCTACAGCCATACCACCCTGAACGCGCCCGATCTCGTCTGAAAATACTTAGGCTGAAAGGGAACAACCATTCACAAAATGGTGTAGACTCTAGAAGCCCATTTATATGAAGTCCTGGAACAGGCACAGGGATGCTAGCTAGGAAAAACGTGGCACCAGGGTTGTCTGGGAGCAGAGGCAGGGATTTCCCAGGAAAGGCCATGAAAGAACTTTCCGGAGCGATGGAAATGCTCTGCGATCTTGATAGACATTTGAATTACAAGGTGAATGCATTTGTAAAAGCTCAATTAGGCCCAGCCGGTGGCTCAGTGGTTGAGCGTTTACTCATGAACCAAGAGGTCATGGTTCTATTCCCAGTTGCGGGCTCAGTCCCCAGTGGGGGAGTGCGCAGGAAGCAGCCCATTGGTGTGTCTCTCTCATCAATGTCTCTCTCTCTTTCTCTCTCTCTCTCTCTCTCTCTCTCTCTAAAATTGATTTAGAAAAAGCTCAAAAAAACAAACAAAAAAAAACAGAAAAAACACACAACAACTCTTGGGCTTTGTGCTTTTATTCTATGCCATTTTACTCAAAAGGAAGAGAAGTAAGGAGAGTGGCAGGCAGACATTGGACTTCAGTTCACGTTCTGCAGGCTGGACTGTTTCAGGGAAGTGAGATGGAAGTCCACAACCAACTTTTTGTCGCTGTTGGCACTGTGGCAGACATCCTCCATTCCCCACTTTGCCACCTTCATCAGCCCCGCCACCCTCCCTCCCTTGGCCCTCACCACACCAGTGTCTGTGTCCATGCATTAGTCCTTGAGCTAATCCCTAACC